TGGTATGGATGAAAACATGTACAAGTGTAGAAAAACATGGGAGAAAGGCTCCATGTTGGGTAGGTGGCACCTAGGTTAGCCTAAACAACCTCATTAATTCATAATTCCCCTACTATTGACTATTGCCGTCTTTGATTCCTAGCACAGCGTGAAACCCTACTCTCCCTAGTGTCCCCAACTCAAGCACCTGTAAGTGAAGATTTCAACCTGAGATAGCCCGGCCATTTCTCCTCCTGCATGTGTGAATACTAACATGAGCTAGGTTGTCGTGTGTTTTACTGAACCGACAGAGGTGTCCGTCATGACATTCACAAACAAAGCACAATACACTCTCTCTTCTGGGACAAAAATTTGCTCTCTACAATTAAACAATCAGACCAAGTTTCCATTCACGCCCTCTTCGGAAGTTCCAGGTAGAATAGGTCCACAACACTCCATGCTTGAGTAAGAGCTGACAATGATGATCAGATGGTGACAGCATATGACTGTGTATGACCATGCTGACCGTACGTCATCATACCCTGAGAGTGTGGAGCATTGCTCACTCTGCCAACCACGTTTAATATTTTCCATGCAATCAAATATAAAACACCAATGCCAGAGAATAACCAGTCTCGATTTTCCGACGCACAGATTCCATTTGGTGTAAAATGCAAAATAGCAGTGAAAATTATAGGAATGGATCACGGAAAATCAGTGATGACTCCAGGTGTTCAAAGACATCCATTTAATGATTTAGATAAAAGCTGCTTTTTCAATAGGAGTATTGCAATCTTCTGATTGTCAGTACTAGTAGATATATGTACTTTGGATGTAAGTCTTAAAAATAATAACATAACACATATAAAGAATAAAATGGCTTTTGAAATTATCTTTGAGAACTGATAACTCCAAATTGTTATATAAACTGAGACGTTAGCATCTCACTACAGCAGCTCTGCCACTGGCAAAGGTATATTCTTGACAACTTAAACCAGTGTTTTAAGGAACATATAAAATGTTTGAAGACTATGTGACAATAAAGTTGATTTCTCTTTGATATTTTCATAAATGTCACCTTGAATAGAACCTAGACACACACATATCTCTTAAAAGTTCAACAATAGTTACATACAATACTACATCCAAAAGTGATTACATTCAACCATTGTATCTTTTGAAGTTCTGTCAGTTGTAATCATACTGGTGCCAGTATGGCTCTGTCCAGGTCATAAATCTTATATCACCACAGCAAGTCCTAGTGGATGACGGAGCAAGACACACTTGTGCAATGACTCATACTATAAGCCCTCTCAAGTTCCGTAGCATCAAGATATTTGACAGAGGGTAAACATGGTTAAGCTCACTAGAACAGCACAATGCTGTACATAACACTACCTGTAATACCCATATAACTATTTATTACATATTAAGTAGTTGTTCTACAGGTGGTACGTGTCAGAGCTGTCTTCTTGTCAACTCTACCATGGTATGCTGACCCAAGAGCCAACTCTACCCCTGGTTGCTGATCCAACAATAAAACCTATTCCTGTTGGCTGATCCAAACGTGAAACCTACCCTTGTTGTCACATTCCATTAGAACCTAACCTAAACTTACAGGTCGATCCAATAGCCAAACCAATCCCTACTGGCTGATCCAAGAGCCAAACCAATTTCATTGTCCAACCAAAAGTCAATTCTACCTATGTTGGCTGATTCAGAAGCTAAACCAATCCCTATTGGTCACTCCAAGAGCCAAACCAATCCCTATTGGTCACTCCAAGAGCCAAACCAATCCCTATTGGTCACTCCAAGAGCCAAACCAATCCCTATTGGTCAATCCAAGAGCCAAACCAATCCCTATTGGTCACTCCAAGAGCCAAACCAATCCCTATTGGTCACTCCAAGAGCCAAACCAATCCCTATTGGTCACTCCAAGAGCCAAACCAATCCCTATTGGTCACTCAAAAAGCCAAACCAATCCCTATTGGTCACTCAAAGAGCCAACCAACCCATACTGGCCAATCCAAGAGCCAAACCAATCCCTATTGGCCAATCCAAGAGCCAAACCAATCCCTATTGGCCAATCCAAGAGCCAAACCAATCCCTACAGACCAATCCAAGAGACAAAGAGATCCCTACCGGCCAAGACAAGAGCCAGACCATTCCCTACAGACCAATCCAGGAGACAAAGAGATCCCTATCAGCCAATATAAGAGCCAGACCAATCCCTACAGACCAATCCAAGAGCCAGACCAATCCCTATCAGCCAATACAAGAGCCAGACCAATCCCTATCAGCCAATACAAGAGCCAAATAAATCCCTGCTGGACAATACAAGAGACAAAGAGATCCCTATCGTCCAATACAAGAGCCAGACCAATCCCTAACGGCCAATACAAGAGCCAGACCAATCCCTATCAGCCAAGACAAGAGCCAGACCATTCCCTACAGACCAATCCAAGAGACAAAGAGATCCCTATCAGCCAATATAAGAGCCAGACCAATCCCTACAGACCAATCCAAGAGCCAGACCAATCCCTATCAGCCAATACAAGAGCCAGACCAATCCCTATCAGCCAATACAAGAGCCAAATAAATCCCTGCTGGACAATACAAGAACCAAAGATTGGCTCGGGATCTATGATATAATCCCTACCATCTGATCCTACATCCAAATCTAAGCTGTTAATCAAGATGCAGACTGATGACTAACTGTCCCCAGAATGACACACATTACCTAGGACAAAACCTCTGCTGGCTGATCTAAGACATAGCCTACACAACAATTTCCCTATCTGTGCCACATCTAGGATTGATAGCCACAGATTACTTCTGGGCTAAAAAAGAAAAGCTGAGATTACCTAGAGTCCCATTTTCGTCTGGTTGTAAATATCCACAAATCTTTCCATATTGCAAGATAATACATTGGATACAAATATTGGACAATATATTCGTGTTTGGCATTAAGTCAAGTGAACAATTGAACTTTCGTGCAGCACGTATGCGCCCCACATTTCAAGGTTCACCATGTTGAAGCATTTCAGCAAACATCAATGGTTGACAGACTTCCAACAGGCTTCTGTGGACATTTCCATGGGGCTCTAACATAACTTTTCAGAACTTAGCAAAGACTGGCAACTTTCACTTCCATTCTCTGCATCCCACTTGGGACCAATGAAATAATCATTACAAAGTAATTATGTGTAAGCACAAACATCTTAATGATTTACAAGCATCTAAATAGAAGTACCATATACACCTGGATAAAAGAACACTGAACGCATGCTGACTGCATGACAGAGCAGAACATATTGGTCAGAAAGAAGGTGAGAACAGACTCCTATAGCTGTCATGTTCGAACAGAGGACGTCTATTGGGTCAATCCCTCGTGAAAATGTAACTGGGATTCCAGTGGGATGTCAAAATCCTGACGGCATTACTTCATCCTAGTAGGATATGGTATTTGCCAGTTGGGATTCCATCTCACTGGCATTACTTGTGTGTGGGATCCCACAGGGATGTATTTTCTTTTTTATATTTTTGTATTTTCATTCTTTAAATTGTTTCGTGCAATTTCTTAGAAGTTGATGAATGACAAAGTAGACTCAGTTTTTGTACACAACTTCATTAATATACTATAATAGCAACATTTCAGGATAGATGCTTATACCATTGCTAAGCAAAACTAAAGAAACATTGCTATAAAAGTATATTTATGAAGTTGAAGTTGATGTATACTTTTTCATTCCTTAGTCTACTTCAGCTTATAACTCAACAGTAGGATAATGACACAAAGATTAACATTTCTTTGTTCGAACTAAACTCAATGGTCTTTCTGAATTTTTAGCATATTTAACAAGATGTCTCTAACCTACCACTGAATAATATGAAAATACCCATTAATTTTGAAATTAGAGTAACCTCCCCCTTTAAAATGGATGCCATCTAGTTATCGATAGTCCAGTTAGGCAATTGTGGACATTTGTTGTGTACATTTGTCCTATTCAACTTGCTTCTGGAGGAGAAAAATAGATTTCAGTTCTTGAGCTGACCTGGTCTAGGTAATTGCAGTGTTTTTAAAGTTTTTGTGGATTCTATGACTAACATAGTCAACTGAAAGGGTCACGACCTTGAGATCAGTCAGTTCACCTCATGAGACATCTGATAGTCTCTCTGTGCACTTTCTGAGTATTATGTGTGTCTGTGGGCTATCTAAAAACTTTCAATGACAAAGAATGCCTGAGAAAATCCCTCAATGACAAAGAATACTGGTAAGGCTTAAAAAAATAAAAGAATTGGTTCTCAGGCAATGACTTTGAAAATATAGTGTGGGTGGGCGTGTTTTTTTTCTTTTTGTGCTTGTTCAAACTAGTATGTTACCAAATAAACAGCTGTGCACCTGGGAAAGGGCCTCTCTACATAAACATTACCATTACCATAACACGAGATGCGCAGTAAAGCAGTGCGCATGTAAAGGGAAGAAATTGCATGCTATGTTGGATCCCATTGTTTTTAAGTACCATATTTCGACGTAATAAGCGCCCAGGGCGCTCTCAAAATTAGAAATATGGGGCTCTTATTAGAATATTATTTTGGTGAAAAAAAACAAAAAACAGTGTTGAAAGATAAATTTCGTGGTTTATGCTGACAGCCTGAAATGTTTATGTATGACAGATATATTTTTCCAGAATTTATTTGCCCATAATTAAAGGTGCATTTAACACTCGAGTGTGTAATTTATGCGAATAAATAAGTCTTGTGAAAATTGATCAATCGGAAGGGGTGCTAATTGGGATTGTTCACTAGCCAATATATCAGCAAATATCACCATGGGCACTTATTAAAGCGGGGTGCTTATTACGTTGAATACGGTATTAGGTTTTTTATATCTTTTTAAAAATGGAAATTAAAAACAAAACATGCGGCAGACTTTATGATGATGCGGGCAGTGCCTGAGAACCAAGACTATTTTCTTTATTAGCCTAGGTGAGAACATTGACCAAGGAAATGAGATGTACCTTCTTCTTCTGCTGCTGTTGCTGGTCCTTTTGACTGTGATTCTTGACATGTTTGCGGAGCGAGCTGGGGTCCGTGTACCGCTTGTTGCAGGCTGGGTACTGACAGGCGTATGGTTTCTGACAAAAACAAATTATTGCATGCAATAAATCAATTAATTGAACATCTGCAAAAAGAAATCATTTTTTGAATATTAATGTAGGGAAGGCTCTATTTTCATATGGTTATATTTTTTAGGTGATCATCCATTGGCTTATTCTCTACCAACAACCAATCAAGTTGAGTTTTTCTTCACCCCGTCGCTGGAATACTCATAATGGCGAAGACTATTAGACTATTGAACAATGTTCAGGTTGTTTTCGTAATATTAGATAGTTTTCGTGGCCATATTTTCTTCAACCTTGCCGAGGACAATTGTTTTGTCATAACTCTGTAGATTCTGCCGTGCAGTGCTCTTGAGAATGTTCAGATAGAAACAAATCTTTCAATGGCATTTAGAAGTGATTCATGTAAGAGAGAGAAATGAAGGATGTCAACACCTTTGTGAGGAACCCCACATTTCTCTCTCTCAGACAGAAACAGTTCATGTGGCTGAAGAGAAACACAACAAATTCCCTGCTTATTCCACTCCTGCATCTAGACATTTAAAAAAGAAATGTCCATAAAACAAGTAATTAATGTGGCCTGGCCTTTCTGTGAAAAACTAAATAGTTAGGAATTTTCATTTTCTTTTTGTGACTTAAAATATCCTGCTGGTTTGCCTTCATTACTGTTATCTAAGAATGAAGACTACTGCTTTTAGCCTCAGCTTATTACAATATGTGTGAGATATCCCTCTGGCACTTGTCAACACCTTTATAAAACTGAAACATCTACCTGTATACTTTTTAAAGTGGTGTCAAACCCAGCAGTCAGATTGGGAACAGTGTATACAAGCAAAAACAAATACTGTTCCGAACATAGATTTCAAAATAAAAAATGATTCATATTCTAATAGTTTTTTTAAAACTGCATTTGAATTAGACAAGGAGAACTAAGGATAACTTCTTTACTATACATAAACAGTTTCAGGGCTTCTTGCCCTTCAAACAGTGTATGCATATATCACACAGCTAAATGCCCCTGAACACTACTTGCAATACAAAGTAAACAGCTATAAGTTCTAGCATAATATGTTCCAATATGTACATAATTCTGTAAATATACATACAATGTCATTTACAAAAGTTGTTTTTGCAATGAAGCCTATTTCAGTTACACAGCAAACAGGTGCTTGGAATAACCAATGGCCAGAGTATATAACTATCTACTTGTGTATCTGGAGGTAGCATTGAATTGTAGTCATCAATTACCCACCAACACGACCTTGTTCCCTGAACTGAATCTGTAAGCCGACTCCTACTGAAAACACTGATTTATGTGTTTACAATCCCTCGGCTACATACTCTGTTGAACAAATCTATTAGACATGTATGAATAACTATTTCAGACCCCAAAAAACATACACAAGAAACTACACGTTCAAAGACTTTGTAGTTCGGAAACCCTTACTGAAAACACATGGCAGTTTGCGTCATAGCATAAGTGTCTGAGAGATTTATAGCTCTGTTCTCACATCAAAACCTGTCTGAGTTTAAGTTGAAAACACGAACATGTTTAAGCCTAGCTATCACATGTGATGGGAACTTATTTTGTGACAGATCCAATTCAAAGCCAACTCACTGAAGCATAGCATCTCTGTTTAACCTCTGACCCTTGAGGACACGTACACAATAAAGTGGCACAAGCTGTGATTACAGAACATGTTCTACCCGGCACTCTTGAAGTGTATACATAGCAATTGCTCCCCGACTTTGTAGTCTTCATCAAAGAGACACATATTCTGAAGACTGCAATCACTGTGTTATCACCGTGAGATCAGCGCCGTTGCATTAACACCAATCCTGTGTTATATATGACGGTGTCTGTCATGCCTCTTCCCCTCTCTCAATGTTCTGCATGTCAGGAGCTGAACAGAACTGAACACGCTAACACCAACGACCCGCCTCAATACTGAGCGAGTATTGTTTTACGCCGCTTTTAGCAATATCCAGCAATATGACGGCGAGGAACACCACACCCATGTGGAGTGAGCGAGTTTGATTTTACGCCGCTTTTAGCAATATTCCAGCAATATCACGGCGGGTGACACCAGAAATGGGCTTCAAACATTGTACCCATGTCGGGAATCGAACCCAGGTCTTCAGCATGACGAGCGAACGCTTTAACCAGTAGGCTACCCGACCGCCCTACACCCATGTGGAGAATCGGACCCAAGTCTTTGGTGTGACGAGTGAATGCTTTAACCACTAGGCTACCCCACCACCCCCTCCTCAATACTGTACAATAGAGGGATATAACATACTACTCAACATTTGATAAGGACCACACCTTTGACTGAAGATGACTATGTTATTCCTTAGCAAAAGTTGAGTAGAATGCCCTTGATACACATTCAAATCATCTGGATGGCAATCCAATTTAGAGTTGTAATCAAACATATACTTGTTTCAGCACACAATATTTGCTCTGTTCAGTCAAATCATGGTACATTATGGGGGATTTATTGTGTCATTATTGATTATACACATTCACAGCTGGACATTTATGTGAGTCAGCTTAACACAGAGGCCAGGGAGGTGATTAGTCTGGACCAGGCAAACTGGTGGTTGATACTATGAACAACAACCAGGGATGCTTCTAGGTGTTCTCAGAGGCCCATGTTCTCTTAGAGTTGCTAGAAATAAGGCCATTTATACTGCATTATATTGCCGCACCACAGAAGGGCATTCTCAAAGCACAAGTTGCAGGACTGGCTGTCATCATTTGCTCTGAAATTGAGTGAGTGAGTGAGTTGGGTTTAACGCCCCTTTTAACAGTATTCCAGTTATATCAAGGCGTGTCAGTTTAATGTGGGAGGAAAGCCCGAAGTGATGCAGGTCTCAGACGTTTACCACTTCGGTGAGTTTTTGTCTACATCAAATGTCATAAAAAAAAATAAAAAAATGTTATCAGAACTAATGACAAGGCTTGGCAAGCATGACTTGTCTTTCATGTTAACAAGGCCTAAAAAGAGAAAACAGCTTTAGATTCAATCTTTAAATACCTCTGAATTTGAGAAAATAAAATAACATTCCCAACTTTGGACAAAATAATGTGTTTGTCTTTGACACAGGCACTTAGTTTGAAATTCAAGATAAATCCCTTCATTGCATAAAGTAAGTTTTGCTGGCGACTCCACTTTTTGTATTCGGCCATCACTGTACCCATCTTGTGCATGTCACAGCCAGCTCTATTGAGAAGCACAAGGGGTACTAGGAACCAGGGCCCACTTGCACAAAGCAATCTTAGCGCTAAGATGATCTTAACTCCCATACTTTTACATAGGCTTGCAATAGTCTTAGCGCTAAGATCGTTTTGTGCAAGTGGGCCCAGGTGGATAAATCAAGTGTTCAAAATCAAGGTCCCTTGCCACACAAACTCTGAACAAATTGTTATTTTGTTTAAAATTGAATTTTTAAAAAATAAAGCAAGCTCCCACACAAAGTGCTGGACCTTCATTATATTCTCATATAATAGCACAGAGAAAAGAGTATCGCAGTCGGGAGCTTTGTTGCAGTATCTGACAGGTAAAACATGCTGTTTGATTGGCTCTTGTCGTTTATATACAATCTTACTATTGGCTTACATCCAACATAAGGGGCGGTAGGGTAGCCTCGTGGCTAAAGCGTTGGCTTGTCACATCAAAGACCAGGGTTCGATTCACCACGTGAGTACAATATGTGAATCCCATTTTCCATTGTCCCCTGCCGTGATATTGCTGGAATATTGCTAAAAGCGCCGTAAAACCATACTCACTCACTACACCAACCTGAGCAAAGCTTTCTATCAACAACACAGCAGTAGTGTCAACCATAGACTTGTACAAATCTCTAAGGTAATAACAAGAAAAAGTGAGCAAAGCTTTCTATCAACAACACAGCAGTAGTGTCAACCATAGACTTGTACAAGTCTCTAAGGTAATAACAAGAAAGAAGTGAGCAAAGCTTTTTATCAACAACACAGCAGTAGTGTCAACCATAGACTTGTACAAGTCTCTAAGGTAATAACAAGAAAGAAGTGAGCAAAGCTTTCTATCAACAACACAGCAGTAGTGTCAACCATAGACTTGTACAAGTCTCTGAGGTAATAACAAGAAAGAAGTGAGCAAAGTTTTCTATCAACAACACAGCAGTAGTGTCAACCATAGACTTGTACAAGTCTCTAAGGTAATAACAAGAAAGAAGTGAGCAAAGCTTTCTATCAACAACACAGCAGTAGTGTCAACCATAGACTTGTACAAGTCTCTAAGGTAATAACAAGAAAGATGTGAGCAAAGCTTTCTATCAACAACACAGCAGTAGTGTCAACCATAGACTTGTACAAGTCTCTAAGGTAATAACAAGAAAGAGTGAGTGAGTGAGTGAATATGGTTTTACGCCGCTTTTAGCAATATTCCAGCAATATCACGGCGGGGGACACCAGAAATGGGCTTCACACATTGTACCCATGTCGGGAATCGAACCCGGGTCTTCGGCGTGACGAGCGAACGCTTTAACCACTAGGCTACCCGACCGCCCCTAACAAGAAAGAAGTGAGCAAAGCTTTCTATCAACAACACAGCAGTAGTGTCAACCATAGACTTGTACAAGTCTCTGAGGTAATAACAAGAAAGAAGTGAGCAAAGCTCACATACCCCTGTTATCCCCGCTGGTCAACAACAAATAGTAAATAGTTTGTTAATTAATGAAATATACCTGTTGCTTTAAGTCAGAGGAACTGCCCTTTCCTTTGTAACCCATGAGGATGCATTATGTTTGAAATGAACACATGTTTTTGCAAATATATTTTAATCTAGTGTGGAATAATCAATGCTTAGCACAACATACATTCTTGATGTTTCTTAATGGGTACATGGAAACGGCAAAAATTCAAAAATTCAGAATCTTCAAACTAGCAAAAGGCACAAGTACTCATTGTGGTTAATGTGTGTAGACAGTTTGGTGAAGCTAGGGTGCATAGTTAAAAAGATATAGGCCGTACAAAACACCCACCCTAAAACTTTAAGTTTCTTAATGTTTCCATGGAAACGGCAAAAATTAAAAAGTTCAGAATCTTCAAACTAGCAAAAGGCATAGGTACTCATTGTGGTAAATGTGTGTAGCAAGTTTGGTGAAGCTAGGGTGAATGGTTAAAAAGTAATGGGCCGTACAAAAGCTCATACAAAAGCTCGGACGGAAGGACGGACAGACGGAACACTATATATCCCTGATTTACTTCACAAACAGGGCTATAATTATTAGTTTAAATCATATTTTCTAGAATATGTAAACAAGTTGTCCCTATGAGAGACTGGAGTCCTTAGGAGAACTGTCCACATATCTAGACTTGCAAATGAGGACAGAATTACTACACATCCATGGACTTTTCTTTAAGTACAGCCTTGGAGCAAGGCTATGTCAACCACTAAGGCCTCTTCCCTTTTATTGGTTCCAGTGAAGTCGCCATTATGAAGTCATAACATTAATTATCACTACAATAACAGGAATTGGGAACTTTTTCATTCCAATTTGAAAATTTTGCCTGACATTTCCTGCCAAATTTTGTTAATAAAGCAGGTCTAGATACATGCCTGGTGCTCATTCCACAAAGTGATCGTAGCACTTAGACGATCATAAATCCAATACTTTAACATTTATGCAGGAAAAGGCTCCTGCCAGCACCTACCGTGTCAAGATGTGTACGCTGATGTTTGGCGCGGTCGGAGGAGTTGCTGAAGGCCTTCGTACAGCCGGAGTGTTGGCAGAGGTATGGACGTTCCCCTGTGTGCGATCTCAGATGTATCTTCAAGTTCTCGAGGCGAGAGAATGCTTTGTTACAGCCCTCGAACTGAAAAAGGGAAAACAGTTTGTCAGAAGTCCTCAAATCATAACATTAAAGTAATTGTTCTAGGCCTCATAAGTAATGGTGAATTATTAAGTTTTAAAAGAGAATGTCTTGATACAACCCTCAGACTGATCTGTGTATAGTTCCCACATCTTCCCAAGGCAAGGGAGTTATCTGACTGTAAAAGTTCAGTTTCCGCCCTTGCCGAACTAGGCTGGAATTAAGGAGTTATATTTTGTCTGGACTAGCAGGTCTATGCATAGTCCAATCGAAATCGCGTAACAAAATCAACATCAGGTGGTGGCGCTACGATTGAGCCAAGACATTCCAGCCTAGAACTGCAAGGGTGGAAACGGGACTTTTATAGTTAACTCCCTTGCCTCGGGAAGATGAAATTACCAGTATTCTATTGCTTGTCATAAGAGGCAACAAAGAATGCGATCCTAGTTTTCTATTTCTATTGCAACAAATTTGGATTGGAATATTGCTGACTTTGGCGTAAACAAAACAAAAATCTTGTGATAGCACAGACAATCTGTAGACAGAGACTATCCCAGTTTGGTTTCAATAAGCTCTTCAGGGAATGTATGAACAAACGTGACAATAGCACAAAAACACAACACAACAACCCCTTAAAAAACCATGAAACTATTCATGTCAAAAGCAAACTTGCATCACTGTGGCTGCATCTTCAGGGAGTGTTTTGAACAATAACACAAGCAAACAACACAAACAAGTCTCTATTTATAAAACAAGCGACTCTGACTTCAAAAGGACACTTTTGTGGCATCATCCTTCCTAATGTCATTTCATCTATCACGCTATCTTACAGTAATAAATTCACACATGGCAGAATAATAGCTCTTGAACAGGAATATTCAATATAGGGCTCTGTGTCAAAATAAATCGCGCATTGATTTTTGAAGCATGGTCAAGTAATGATCAAGAAAGAATTATCAATAATGTTGCCATGGTACATTTCATTTCACACTTGCAGCTCTGTAACATATCTGAACAATGCAGTTTCTTAGGAGATATCAAACTGTAACAAATTGCAATGAGTGTTTGATTGAAACACCTTGACCTATACACAGTGGAATCTTTGATCCATGTGATTAAGAAACAAAAGACCAATTGTGACATAATTCCTGTTCACATAAATCAAATGATTCATAGCGGCTTGCTTTGAACGTGAAAAGATTTAAATAAATAACACAATTTCACTCTTGAACAAAGCTTCTGTAAAGCTGGATCTCTTGACATAGCATATGAGCTGAAATGCTTCAAACTCATGTTTAAATAATTGAAAACCTTAAATTGCTTTACAATATCTTAATCACCATTACACAGATCAATAAGGCCCCGCTATCGGTAAAGCAAAGTAATCATGACTGGGTAATGACCTGGTACAAGATAAATCAATGAATTTAAATAACCATTACTGTCAACGTATTTGCCTACGACAAACAATAAACTCCACGACTGTTTTCTGCAGACATTCAGCAGCAGTCCAACCATCAGTCACTGCCAATACCTGGACCACAGTTCTCGGAGAAAACAACGAATGAATACCCGCTTATAACAAAAACAAAATATAACAAGGTGCAAGAGACCACTTTTCAGATGCCACGATCGTTCTTTAACCTCGATTTAAAGGCCTTTGCAAGGCTACCAACACATAAGTAAGAAATGTCGACACCTATTGTGTTGCTCAGCCCATGAATATTTTGTTAAGTTTGCTTATGGAATGCCCACGTGGAAATACAATATACCTTATTTGAACAGGTGCAATTAAAGTACCATACTTGCTCATGCTTTCCTGTCCTCGTCTTATGGGTAAACAAAAACATTCTCACAAAACCCTGCCATCCAGTGTGATAATGGAAAACCTACCCAGTAAACGTAGGATAGTTTTGTTCCTGGAACATTCCTTATAACCAAACCATGCAATCACTAGATAGTTTTGATGTGGGGGAAATACCTGATTCATGTTTTCATTGCCCTTGTCTGCTGACTTTCCACTCCATGAGAAATTTCATTGTGAAAGATACATTGTTGACAAGGTTAAAGAAAACACTGACATCTATGTTTTGACTAATGAGTGAGTGAAACAGGGTTCCAAGCAGCTAGTATTATATCAGACCTATCCAGAAATAGCTACTTGAGTGGAAACTGTGCCAGTAATACAATCCATCTAGACTGTAGCCAGCTGGAAGCACTGTTAAAGCATCGAGACGTTCAAAATAATTACTCATATTCGTACAGTTATCATTAGGTTTTAAATAGATAAGTCAACCTCTATTAATTTTCGAAATCATTGTTGGCTAGTGAGCCTACTGTGGGACAATACTGTTGTAGAATCCTGGCCAAAAAGCACTCTGTCACTGTCCCAAATACAAGTTTAAAGACAAAGCCCAGTTTCAGTAGATTTCCCATACTGCATCTCTCCCAGAATGACCTGCTGGGTGAAATTAAGCCTGGAACAGAGGAACCAGTGGATGACACTGTGAGACCTCATCCATGCCATCAAGCCTGGCACAGAGGAACCAGTGGATGACACTGTGAGACCTCATCCATGCCATCAAGTCTGGCACAGAGGAACCAGTGGACGACACCATGAGACCTCATCCATGCCATCAAGCCTGGCACAGAGGAACCAGTGGATGACACTGTGAGACCCCATCCATGCCATCAAGCCTGGAACAGAGAAACCAGTGGATGATACTGTGAGACCCCATCCATGCCATCAAGCCTGGCACAGAGGAACCAGTGGATGACACTGTGAGACCTCATCCATGCCATCAAGTCTGGCACAGGGGAACCAGTGGACGACACTGTGAGACCCCATCCATGCCATCAAGCCTGGCACAGAGGAATCAGTGGATGACACTGTGAGACCTCATCCATGCTATCAAGCCTGGAACAGAGGAACCAGTGGATGACACTGTGAGATCTCATCCATGCTATCAAGCCTGGAACAGAGGAACCAGTGGATGACACTGTGAGATCTCATCCATGCTATCAAGCCTGGAACAGAGGAACCAGTGGATGACACTGTGAGACCTCATCCATGCCATCAAGTCTGGCACAGGGGAACCAGTGGACGACACTGTGAGACCTCATCCATGCCATCAAGTCTGGCACAGAGGAACCAAGGGATGACACTGTGAGACCTCATCCATGCCATCAAGCAAGGCAAAGAGGAACCAGTGGATGACACTGTCCGACCCCATCCATGCCATCAAGCCTGGCACAGAGGAACCAGTGGATGACACTGTCCGACCCCATCCATGCCATCAAGCCTGGCACAGAGGAATCAGTGGATGACACTGTGAGACCTCATCCATGCCATCAAGTCTGGCACAGAGGAACCAGTGGACAATACTTTGAGACCTCATCCATGCCATCAAGCAAGGCACAGAGTAACCAGTGGATGACACTGTGAGACCCCATCCATGCCATCAAGCCTGGCACAGAGGAACCAGTGGATAACACTGTGAGACCCCAACCATGCCATCAAGTCTGGCCCAGAGGAACAAGTGGACAACACTTTGAGACCTCATCCATGCCATCAAGCCTGGCACAGAGGAATCAGTGGGTGACACTGTGAGACCCCATCCATGCCATCAAGCCTGGCACAGAGGAATCAGTGGATGACACTGTGAGACCTCATCCATGCCATCAAGCCTGGAACAGAGGAACCAGTGGATGACACTGTGAGATCTCATCCATGCTATCAAGCCTGGAACAGAGGAACCAGTGGATGACACTGCGAGACCTCATCCATGCCATCAAGCCTGGAACAGAGGAACCAGTGGATGACACTGTGAGACCTCATCCATGCCATCAAGCCTGGAACAGAGGAACCAGTGGATGACACTATGAGACCTCATCCATGCCATCAAGCCTGGAACAGAGGAACCAGTGGATGACACTGTGAGACCTCATCCATGCCATCAAGCCTGGCCCAGAGGAAGCAGTGGATGACACTTTGAGACCTCATCCATGCCATCAAGCATGGCACAGAGGAACCAGTGGACGACACTGTGAGACCTCATCCATGCCATCAAGCCTGGCACAGAGGAACCAGGGGATGACACTGTGAGACCTCATCCATGCCATCAAGCCTGGCACAGAGGAACCAGTGGACGACCAGTGGACGACCGCATCCACATTGGCAGACAGTCCTGAATATACAGTTATGTTCTTCAAACTAAGTGCCTTTGGCAGGCAATTTGGCTAGAAAATCGTTATTTTGCTCAAATTGGTCAGTAAAAAACAAGTCACCTCTACAATGCCATATATTACTATATAAACATGACTTGGGAAATTTGTAATTCCAATTTTGCAATTTTTAGTGACTTGACACAGACTCTGGGGCAGAATATCGACCTCTGAGCAGGTCTGCTGAAATACCAACACAATCATACTCACTCTTGGACTTGAGGTGTCAAGGATAATCGCGTACAGAATATTTGTTGATAAGGTATGTCCTGATTTATAATGTCTTATCTCAAAGTCAGTGACCCTCTTGTCCATTGAGCTTAATGACCTCTGTCCAACATGAGGTAAAAACAGAGCAGAGGTGATGACCCAGAAGCTAGTGCATTAGCTAGTGCAGTCTCTAGAACACTACTTATCTGCTCACAACTCTACTCATTCAGTCAAGGTTGTTTCCATTTGAAACAATATACATTATCCTTAAGTTCCATAAAAACACTTTCTAAATTTTATACATTTCTTTTCAACTTTAAATGCCACACTTGATAATTGCTGATGTAAACTGAAGCAATTTTTACAACCCAAGCTGCCTGTGAGGCGCTAGAAGTTTAACAGTCACATTAGCAGGTCATCCAACAGGATATATTAACAGAACTGTAGTCTTAAATTGAATAAAACGTGAGTTATTATTACAAAGACTTCAACAGATTGTGTGAGTGTTCATATACTACAGCGTTAGAGTGAGTGAGTGAGTGAGTTTGGTCTTACGCCGCTTTTAACAGTATTCCAGTTATATCACGGCGTGTCAGCTTAATGTGGGAGGAAAGCCTGAAGTGATGCAGGTCTCAGATGTTTACCACTTCGGTGAAACCCACGAGCACAGGTATGGTGCTGACAAACCTAGAAACATAATTGGGGCGGACTGGGATTCGAACCCACAATCATAGGTTTCTGGCGTGCCCAAAGGACGCAACTCTGCACAGCGAATCGCGGCGCCTTAGACGACTGGGCCACCCGTGCCCCCTACAGCGTTAGAAATTAGCAATAGTTCTATTGTCCATGCCAAACTGACCAATAGTTAGAAATTTGCCCTTTTTTAGGGTTTGCTATATGTTATCATTATACAGACTTGTTGACCAAAACTATTAGTTTCTACCTATGTACCATGGACTAACACACTGTTTAATATAAATATATGTAATTTCGTCATTTACTCGAGAGTCTCAGAACAACTCTTCTGTTACTTCTTGCTGAGCTGTTGCTCAAATACCATGAGTCTTTCAGTGCCCTGACAGTAAATATTGACAACATTTGTACAGCTTGCACCAGTTACTTTTGTCCCAGTTGGTTCAGAATCACCCAAGCGGGTTCAAGTAAAATATACCGCATTGAAAGGCCACATTGTGGCAGTGCCATCTGGATGCAAGGGCAGGTAATACATGGACTATGCCATCCTGGCAGTAACGTTGCTGGAGCCGTCACGTCTCATTATAGACATGTACCTGTAAGCAAGGGTGTAAACAGGGGACTGTGCCAGCACAATACATGACAGGGGTAAGGTTTCTCAGGTGTGAAGAGGTGGACTCCGTGACTCAAGGTTCCTTGCTAGTCATGAATGGAGGGACTGTTACAGCCCACATAGAGTGAATTCATCAACACCACAGCACACAACTGTTGACTGTCTGGCAGGACATTCTGCAGCTACCAATCTTTGTCCATGGCAGTTAAATCCCTTGATGACCTTGATGCTTACTGGTTTCACTGAAGACTCTTAATAATTAAAACTTAACCATCAAAATTAAAGTTTTCTATTTTTAAAATGTTGTCTTAAATGTCTGGCCAGGATTCACAAAACTAAATCATTGTTCAGGAATAAATACTTTTGTCCCTGCTTGAGATTAATACATCTGAAGAGGGCAGTAACAATGCACTCTGATACAAGAATCCAGATAGTAATGAGTGAGTGAGTATTGTTTTACGGCGCTTTGAGCAATATTCAAGCAATATCACGGCAGTGGACACGAGAAATGGGCTTCACACATTGTACCCATGTCAGGAATCGAACCCGGGTCTTCGGCGTGACGAGCGAACATTTTAACCACTAGGCTACCCGACCTCTTCAGATAGTAAGGCTGTGATATAATACAGAACAGCTTTACTTTATGATTGTTTCATTCTACACTGATGCATTACAGCCCTAATTTACAATACTGTATTCGAAGTAATAAGTGCCCAGGGCGCTATCAAAATTAGAAATAGGGGGCTCTTATTAGAATATAGTTTTGGTGAAAGAGTTGAAAGATCATAAATTCTGTGCGTATTAGACACGACAGATATATTTTTCCAGAATTTAATTTCCCGTAATTAAGGGTGCATACAACAAATGAGTGTGTATTATACATGAATAAATAAGTCTGGTGTACATTAATCAATCGGAAGAGTGCTAATTGGGATTGTTCACTAGCCAATATATTAGCAAATATTGCTGTGGGCGCTTATTAGAGCAGGGCGCTTATTACATCGAATATGTTATGTTTGAAAAGTTCAATATGTATTCGAGCTTTCACAACAATATTACATCCAATCCAACTCATGACTGCAAAACCAGTAACCCAACATTTCTGTGGACAGTAACCAATCAATCAAGCATTGGTCCAGTAGATGTATGTAATATAGCTACTTGAACAATGTTTCAGAAAAACATAACTTTTATGGAGAAACTATTACTTTCATAATAATCCAACATTTGATTCCATTATTCTTAGTTTGATATTATGGGTCAAATGTCCTTAATCCACAAGCAACGTTTGACATTTGTCCTGTAGTACTTGCCAAGCTGTCCAATAGTTAAGGTATCACAAGGACTACTAGAAATTTGCCATTTTTAAGGGTTTTGCTATATGTTAACATTAAAAGGACTAGTGGACTAAAAATGTTAGTTTTTACCGCTGACAAAACCAGTAACCAAACATTTTTGTGAACAGTAACCATGGCAATCGAGCATTGGTCCAATGGATGTATGTAAAATAACTGCTTTCATTGAGAAATTTTTGCTTTTATAATATTCCAAAGTTGGATATAATGGGTCAAAATGCCATAGAGCCACAAGCCTGCCATGCAGTGCCATCTTACCGTGCACTTGTTGGGCTTCTCTCCTGAGTGTACTCGCATGTGGATCAGGAGCTTGTACCGGGCATTAAATGGCCGGTATCTCCTCTGACATCCCGCCCAGAAACATGTGAAATCCTCGCCCTTGCGTTGGTCAATATGGGCCTTCTCAATATGGCGCACTAGTTCGTCCTGTTCACTGAATTGTTGGTTACAGTCGATCCAGCGACATACTTGCTGCCGCTCATCGTTTTCTTCGTCATACTCTTCAGACTTGCTTGTCTGACCTTGACCTTGAGATTGTGGATTATGGAGGTACATGTTCTGCTGTGGCTGTTGCTGCTGTTGCTCCACAGCCTGGTCATAAGGAGGTGGTGGTCGGATCGGTACTACATTGTTCATACCAGTGTTCATACCATTGTTCATACCATTGTTCATGGGGTTCATAGTGTTCATTCCATTGTGCATACCACTGTTCATACCATTGTTCAAACCACTACTCATCCCATTGTTCACACCGTTGTTCATCCCACCATTATTCATACCACTATTGGTCATACCATTGTTCATACCGCCATTGTTCAACACACTGTTCATTCCTCCATTGGTCATACCATTGTTCAAACCACCATTCATGCCAGTAGAGATGTTGGTGTCCATGGTGTTGAATGGCTGCCCCTGCTGCATGTGTTGTGAGTTGGCCATGCCCTGCTGCGACTGGATGTTGCTCTGTAGACTCTGATTCGTCTGCATGTTGAACAGAGCACACTGCTCTATGTAGGGAATCTGATCCTGAGGTGCCACATACTGGTTGGTCATCAAGTCGTGGAAGCCATGGCTCTCAGACGGTCCCATACTGAAAAAGTCTGTATTTTCCTGTTTAATTCCATTGGAAACCGAACTCTGAGGTGTGAATCCATGCAGCCTGTTGCCGCTGGACCCTGAGAAAGGGCTGTTCCGGGCATACATGTGGCAAAACGAGCCAGGCATCATGCCAGGTTGAGGCGAGACACTTGTTGATGATCCCCGGGAGCCATTCAAGATGGTCACCAAGGATGTAGGCGAAATACGGATGATTTGGTTAAGGTCCAAGCCATCTGAGAAAGATGGTGATATTGAAAGAGCACGTTTCTGTGATGCACGACCATGGATGTTGGCTGAATTACGTGGACTTGTGAACGTTGACAGTGATGGCGACATGTCGACTTGGTATGGGGACAAGTTGCTGCTGTTGCAAGGGTACTGTGAGGTGGCGCTCCCTGGTGGATGATAGTTATCCATGTCGCTCCCTGCCACCGACCCCGTCCCGCTAGCAGACACACTGGGAAGGGTCTTGTAATGGCACCAGTCCTGTTGTTTGGGGAGCGGCTCCAGAAACACATGTTTATCGCCATTGTTACTGAACCCGCCTGGCGTGGACAGTGAGTTCCTGTCATTGGACACAATTGAGAGAGACGGCGTGTTGACGCTGTGGCGCGGACTCATGTTGGATCTGATGCTGGACACCTCGCTTGGCGTAGGCGTGGATGTTTGAAGCTGATGGTTCGGCAGGTTCAAGTTATTACCTCCCTTGTTGAGAGCCGCATGGCGTATATTATGCCCGAAGCTGGGTATGGCTGACCGGCCTGGACCCAGTGGGATGCATTGTGGGCCATACCCAAAAGCATCTGAAACACACAAAAATATCATCAACATTTAGAGAAGAAGATACACATTTTTTCACAAAGTGAGTTAATGTATGGTTAATAATCTTGCATTCAGATCATTGTGGTGGACCAGTGAGTAAATGTTTGAGTGTGGGAGGAGCATTTGTAAAAAACATTCAAGAATTGCAAAGAGAATACAAGGGCTTGGACAAGTCCAAATTTACCCCCCGGTACCCAACCCCCAATTACCAGACCCTAAACATGTACCCGCTGTAGGTTTCAAGAGATGGGTACAAAATGTCCGATTGGGACTAGTTTGACCGGAGCCCTAGCAAAATGCACTTAGATGCACATATAGAACGATCTGGTCATGCATACGCTGAATTCGACTGAAGCTTTATCTTTATTCGAACATATGAAAGTCAGAAGGAATGGGTCATAAAGAAATGCGAACATTAATGACTTGGAGAGTAGCCATGAAGTTCTAGATAACTGTTGTCATTAAACAATATGTCGTGTGACTAACCATGGGTCTGGGTAGTCCTGTGGGAAACCACCTGATCCGAGTACCCTAGTTACCTGTCCCAGCCCTAGACAACACCAAGACAAGGCTATGGAGAGATGGTCCTTTGCATGTGTAGCGGCCATAAAATTTCCGAGTCCCATGATGGGATTCGAACCACGGACCTTCTGATCCGAGGTCAGACGCCTTGTCCACATGACCAAAGAGGTAAACCCCGTCAGCAAGCTGACAAAGTAAGGATGTCATCTGTGGGATGACTCCACACCCCCTGCTACATACTCCCCCGTCAACAGAAGGCACGTCCCGGGCCGCATAGTAGGGTACTGAGGCTTATTTTGCTCAAATTTAATATGAACGTGCTCAGCCCCACATGGGCGCCAATGTAGTGGCCATAAAATTTCCGAGTCCCGTGATGGGATTAGAACCAGGGACCTTCTGATCCGAGGTCGGACGCCTTGTCCACATGACCAAAGAGGTAAGGATGTCATCTGTGGGATGACTCCACGCCCCCTGCTACACATGGCTTCTATGTAAGAGTGAATATTATCCTACCCTATTTTTTATCCAAGGGATGAAATTCTCTAGTGTCAAGATGATTCACCCAAGTGAATTTGAACCCATACCAGTGTGTTTAATACTATCCTATACTATACACTAGAGTAAAACTTCCCCTGGGATAATATTTAGGTAGGATATAATCCTTGCTTACATACACACAGTCGTCATGCACTAAAGCAACCACCATGTTCAGTTACACGCACGTGCAGTCGTCATGCACTAAAGCAACCACCATGTTCAGTTACAGGCATGTGCACAGTCCTCATGCACTAAAGCAACCACCATGTTCAGTTACAGGCACGTGCACAGTCGTCATGCACTAAAGCAACCCCATGTTCAGTTACAGGCACGTGCACATTCACAGTCAGATTACAAAACATTCAACATTCAACATGCAACGAGAGTCTCACAGGTATATCGCCCTAATCACACACTAAATGCATCGTCATTTGAGTTCCCATTGTCACATACTAGCACACATGTATGCTCTTAAAATTTGGGTAATACATTCAACCTTTCACGATAGCTAGTCACAAATCACTCTACACTGGAAAACTGATTGGAAAAAATTGGCAGGTATTACTAGTATCAACACCAATAAACATGATAAACAAACTTTACGTATATGAGATATGAACATTTTGCATTTTAAGCATGTCAATAAAAAGTACATGTTTTAAAAATATTTAATCATATTTAAATAATGATGACTCCCTCAAAACAATCCGAACTCGGCAATATCAGACATGTCCGTTTTATGAACAGGGGGCTACGTTAGGTATTTCCCAGACATTTTCACAATTTTCACATCGATTATCTGTATCGTTTCTCCCAATACCGATTGTCATATCTCTCCCACTTTTGAATGCAATCATTCAGCCATTGCATTCATTTGCGTTGCCCAATTACATCTATGGGGAACAACTCCTTAAACACTTCCCTTTCAAATATGATGTTGTCCAATATACGTCATCAAATTGCGAGCGTATGTCCAGCAATGACGTCATGATTGAACAATGTTTTATCATGAAATAAACCACGCATCATTCTTCATTGTTCTTTGCCATTTATTGCGTAGCTATCTCATATTATGGTCTCAAACATTGTTCAAACAATATTCTTGGTCACTTGCTGATCTCTGAAAATTTCAGTACCACTTTCTTGACATCAATGTAGTCTGCAAGAGTTTAATTCTCAAGGAATGCCCTCTACCACATCTCCAGCTGTAATTTCTTCAGTACTTTTTGTCATTATTGAAGTATTCCATTTGCAAAACAAGTGAAGGGTTGAAAATAATGTGAGTTCCTGTTGGAGAATGTCAGGAAGCCTTTCAACTACCTCCCCTAACTAGAACCTGCAGCATCACTGATGGTTAGGATATCTACAGTGTGGATGCACACCAGTTGCTAATTACAAATAATGTGGAGTTGAGCTCTTTCAGACACTACAATTCAACATGTGTGGCCATAATGTCTGCCGACTTCAATTCCTTGCGTCAAATATTACATTAACACCTGGTTTTACTTCCTAACATCAAACTAAAGATAAAAATGTACCTGCTCCTTGCATTTTTCTTCAAAAGCTTACATGCAAATATTCTTCCTCCAAGAGAGTTGAGCATATCATCATGGTCTAAGTGGTTACATTTTGCAATATTCAGTCTAGTAAACACAGTTTAATGCCAAGAATGTCTGGAGAGTCAATAAAATACTACTACATGGATGTCATATCAGATACTATACAACAAATTTAACAGAATCTCTTTAACATCCATTACCAGAATCTGTCACATCCATAACCAGAATCTGTCACGTCCAATACCAGAATCTGTCACGTCCATAATCAGAATCTGTCACATCCATAACCAGAATCTGTCATGTCCATAACCAGAATCTGTCACGTCCATTACCAGAATCTGTCACATCCATAACCAGAATCTGTCACATCCACAACCAGAATCTGTCACGTCCATTACCAGAATCTGTCACGTCCATTACCAGAATCTGTAACATCCATAACCAGAATCTGTCACGTCCATAACCAGAATCTGTCACATCCATACCCAGAATCTGTCACATCCATAACCAGAATCTGTCACATCCATAACCAGAATCTGTCATGTCCATAACCAGAATCTCTGTCACATCCATAACCAGAATCTGTCCTATCCATAACCAGAATCTGTCACGTCCATAACCAGAATCTGTCACGTCCATAACCAGAATCTGTCACATCCATAACCAGAATCTGTCACATCCATAACCAGAATCTGTCACGTCCATTACCAGAATCTGTCACGTCCATTACCAGAATCTGTCACGTCCATTACCAGAATCTGTCACGTCCATAACCAGAATCTGTCACATCCATAACCAGAATCTGTCACATCCATAACCAGAATCTGTCACGTCCATAACCAGAATCTGTCACGTCCATTACCAGAATCTGTCACATCCATTACCAGAATCTGTCACATCCATAACCAGAATCTGTCACATCCATAACCAGAATCTGTCACGTCCATTACCAGAATCTGTCACGTCCATAACCAGAATCTGTCACATCCATAACCAGAATCTGTCACATCCATAACCAGAATCTGTCACGTCCATAACCAGAATCTGTCACATCCATTACCAGAATCTGTCACATCCATAACCAGAATCTGTCACGTCCATAAACAGAATCGTTTTTTGAAATTGTGGCTTTATTAACAAATTGCAGAAAATTGGACGTCATATTGGAAATGTCCATTTAGGAGAAACAGGCCAATATGAAATCTCTTCATATCTGACAGTTCTTTCCACAAATCATTACTTAGAACATATTACATATTCTAGAAATCCAGAGTCATCCCGTTGTAGTTATGCTGCTAGGGGAGGCGGCGGACTATGTCCAGTCTTATGTTGATGCATTTCTTCTTTCTCACGCCCAAGCCACCATTAAAACTGCCCCCGTCCCTACCTGACCACTCGATCCTCTTACAAGCATGGGCTGCTGAAGATCTATTCTAACAATGATCTTCACAAGTCTTATTCTTACCATACTTTACAGTGAGAAACAATATTTGTTTTGCTTATGACATGCCTTTCATTGTGTGTCAGATTCAACCTGACACCTGGCTATGGACATGTGGAGCCATGACCAAACGTGGTCACATGGTACATTAGAAATAGATTCATAGGCTTGTAAGCTATCAAAGAAAAACAAAAACAGATTTTTTTAATACAATTCTACCTTTCTCCCAGTCCGTTGTGAAAAAACCCCTGTAAAACAAAACATTTTTTAACTGGCCTAAGTCAGCATGTTTTGATTTAATGATGCAGTGGAGACATTTAACACAAGTTAGCTACTGATGCTTTTTCAGGTAACAGACTCATTTCATATTTAACTAATTCTCATTATAAAATACTTAGTGAATCACCTACGAGTTACGAGGAATTACAGATGATCTGTCCCGAGTGAACGCTGGCTCGCAACTTACAGGATTCATTCACAAGGGACAGGTAATCATTAATTCCGAGTTTCAAGGAGGTTGGTCTACTTATAACTCATTAACATTTTGAGAGAGTAAATGAAGAAAAGAATGTACGAAATATCACCCTTACAGAGAAATTTTTCTGAAGGCAGCCGATTGTTCAGATGATTTGGTTGGTTGGTTTGGTTTGTTGTTTAATGCCGCACTCAGCAATATTCCAGCTATATGACAGCGGTCTGTAAATAATCAAGTCTGGACCAGACAATTGATATCATGAGCATCGATCCACGCAATTGGGATCAATGACATGCATCAACCAAGTCAGCGAGCCTGACCCCCCGATCCCATCAGTGGACTCTTACGACTAGCTTAGTCGCCTTTTACAGCAAGCATGGGTTGTTGAAGACCTATTCTACCCTGATCTTCACAGGTCTCATGGCAAGCATGGGTTGTTGAAGACCT